GCCTTACTGCCAGCCCACGGAGCTGTAAGAATGGATATATTGCACATGTTTGCTGTAATTCATCATTTGTAAAATATTATACTACATGGGCTGTATGATTAAATCTTGTACCGTAAATGGTGTATTAAATAAAGTTAATATTACCGACGTTAGATTAACGTCCCTGTAGCTTATTATTGCACTAAGAAGCTTATTGCACTATATATATATATATACAGTGCAATAATTATTTCATGCTAAATGAAGCTCTATTGGATATCACTAGATCCTGTTACAGCCTAATATAAGTACATAACGATTGATGTGTACATTAGCATAATTACTAGCTAGCCGCTAGCTTCTAACTGCCGCCTCGTTAATATCAAATCCATCATAATAACAACCATTACCATGCTGTCATGAACGCACGGTGCTGTTACGTGTACGCAAATTGACGTGCTTGATGTGAACGAGCATTTTTGGTTAAAGTTGCGCATGCGCTATGAGCGCACATACGGGTACTTCTCAGGCATGCTGGGTAATCTGTGACGTTTCACTCTCTCAAAAGTTGGGCCATTTTATCATCATGCGCTAATGAGCAACTCTCATAGGAATGAATGAGGCCCCGCCTCCCACGCTGTATCCAGTTCTTATTATACTCCATGAATAGCACCCATTGATTAGAGTGGCCGCGATCTTTTGTGAACGCCGCGGGAAAGCCGTAACGTGCAGGGCCACCCCTGGCCAACTTGGGGCCCCAAGCGACATTGTGAGATGAGCCCCCCCCCCCCCCAACCGACAGGAGTGAAAAAAAATGTTTGGGAAACAAAGTAGGCTACTTTGCAATATAATTCCTGTTTATTATTAATATCAACATCATGAGCTTTCTAAAGAGGGTCACTGTTTTTTCGCAAGGTCAAACAAGCCCTCTATAGGCGGAAATCCCATTTGAATGCAAAGACGCATCAATTTAGAGTATTAAAGATTGCATGTCATCTTAAATATTAGTGGAATATTCATTTTAATGGTGAAAAGCTACACAACTTGTACCTTTTTTGCTATACAAGGGATGTGTAATGTTATAGTTTCTAAGTGAGGATTAGTGAGTAACAGGCAAAAAAAGACTGTGCAAATAAAAGAAGATAACTAAAATAAGAAACATTTATGGAGCAGTGACGCACGGTGAGGTTCATGGCTGGTGAGGCACTGACTATTTCAGAGTCAGATTTACAAATATTATATTTTGACCGTAATCGAAATATTCGGGTATTTTCAAAAGCTTTTTTAGTCTGATGCTTCGATTCATTTTAAACAGACCGTTCAACAAAAGGATACCAAAAATCTAAATATTGGATTGTTCTTTCTTAATAAGATCCCATTTTCATTACAATTGTGGTCTTACCTTGACTTGAAGATGAAGTCCATGCTATCCTTCTGGACAACAATCTCTATTACTTTTTTGTAAAAGTCCTCCTTATCTTCCTCTAGTTTCAAAAGTCTAGTTTGTTGTTGCGTCTACCGTCTCTGCGTAGAATAACAGTAGCAACAAGAACCTGTGGGCTCACTTGCGCCCCCTTCAGTGCGGCAGAGGTTATGGCTGCCTCCCCTGGTGCTTTTTTCATTGTCGTTGTATGATGAGACCAGCAAGCCTAAATATCATATATACGTGAAATAAGTTATTTAGAGACTATGGATGGCGAGGATAAATGTAATAAAGGGATCTACAAACATTACATTGGTGACATACAGTGAGATGGTGCAGGCATGCGCTTAGGGCCCGCTTTCCAGCCAGTTTCTGTGGGGTGACGCATTCTGAGGTGAGGCAGAGCTCATCTGTGCCTCACCTTACCCCACAGTAACTGGCTTGAGCGCGCTCACAAAATAAGTGCCCGCGCTAAATTAGTGCCCGCGCTCCAGCCAGTTACTGTGGGCTTACGAGAGGCAGAGCTCGTCCCTGCCTCACTTCTCATCGCTACCCGTAGTTGTAGCGGAGCTCGGCAAATTTGCTGATTTTGACTATAAAAAGCGATTGGAATCAAACAGAAATCACATTTACAACACAGATCAGTGGAGACATTTTATTATTATTACTATTTAGTTTTTCTTTAGTTGTTTTTCCGTTACATTGGAGTATGACAGGTGAGGCTCTGCCTCCCCTGACTGCACGTCGCTGTTAAGGAGTATAACTTTGCTATGGTACCAATAGGAATTAATACATCGAAAATAACTCCTAACACTAACAATTGGATATTAGTATAATAGCACTTTGCGTAAGAGAAAATCATCATAAACAGACAGAAGAATGCCAGACTCTTTGTGTACTTGATACTAGCGCAGGCAGAGGGGGTTCTGAGGCGTGTGAGAGAATGACATGTGGGGGGATGTGAGGAGTGGAAAGTGAAGAAGCCATGTTAGTTTTGAAAAAGAGTGAGGGCTGTTGTGAGGAGAGAGAAGGAGAAGTGGAGAGAGTTTCAGATCGGAGTGAACTTAGCAGTGAGCTCATGTTATCACCTGCTACACATGCAAGTTTATATTTACAAGCCAATGATCCGATTGTCCTTCCTTTTTTATTTTCAATTGCAAAGGAGTAAACTAATTATAAAAAATAAATCCTGCTTCCCTCAATAGTCAATGGTTATAAGTGGTATTTCCTGTTTGAATGTGATGTGTGGCGTAGTGGGTTGTCCGTAGGTGTTGGGATCAGGGGGTCACAGGTTCAAACCCCACTGCAGTCAGCATGTCGTTGTGTCCCTGAGACACTTCACCCTAAATTGCTCCTGTGGGGATTGTCCACAGTATTGAGTATGTAACTAGCTTTGGATAAAAGCGTCTAACAAGTAACATGTCATGTAATGTCGAGTGCATGTGCTGATGACAGCTAAACAAGTGTATTCACAACAAACAATGACACTTCACGTCAATCTGGGTCTGCTCCTTTAGTGTGGGCATTAAACAACCGATCTCTAGAAACTCTAGTCAGAACACTGGCTGTGGCTCAGGGGGAAAATGGACATCAACCAATCGGATCCCCAAATGTCTCGCGTATGCATGGCCATAGATCTAAACGTAAAACAGCATAGAAATACACTACATAGATAAAACATATCTCGTATAGATTTATGAGATGTTACTGAGCCTGGCGGCTGTTTATATAGTCTGCCTCAGATAACTGTCAACTGTCAACATTTTGCATATATTTTATTTACTGAGACTATTCATGTAAATGTGCTGGGCTCCAGGTCATCTGATTTGCATGCATTGCTACATCTGATGACTTGTTTATCTTGCAAGATAAAAGTTAAGAGGAAACAGTCAGATGTTATCAGCTCAACTAAAAGATCACCGACTGAATGAAAATGAAAAATCTAAGATATTAATGTCTCTGACTAGATCATTGCTGGTAATAACAGGTAAAGGATGAGAAACGGCCTGCTTAAAAAGGGCTTGAATTGGCTGCTACATCACACTGCAATAGACCTGCTGTGAGTCATCGACAACATACACATTCAGGTAGAAAACCACCACGACAAACAGAAAGCTAGTCGGGAGAACATTGCAGCGCTCACCAGAAATGTACTGTAAAGTAACTTTATGATGTATGTACTGAATGCTGAAATATTCCTGACTCTGTATTCTCTTGTTAAAACTAGTTGGTGTAAAGTGATGCTGGAAAATAATTGTTTCTCAGACATGATCTGTGTGAAGAGATGGGCGTCATAGAGAAGGGAATAAATGATATCGCTCAAATATGAGGCCAATTTTCTCTCCTGGAATATTACAAAGTGTTGCGATTGATGAAACTCATTTCAAAACGGAGAGAGAAATAGTTGTAATGAATGACAAAAGAGAGCTATAGAAAACTGGAGTGGATGTAAATGACAGACGTCTGTATGGAAAGCAACCAAAACGCTCGCAAACTTCAACACTGGAAAGGTGTGAAGGAACGGGGATTCAGAAGATTAACAATAGCAAGCAGTTCTTATGGTGTACACTGGCCCCTAAGAGGTGTCACTATATCTCTGACTCACTCAATGTTTTGACTGGGCTGTAGTCTCACTCTGAGTCACACACAACAGTGCTCCAGAGTTCACCCCTGAGTCCCTTCAAATACATAATGTCTTTTCAAATACATAATATATGTGCCAAAACATAGACTTAGCGAAGCCCTTATAAATGACAAATGTCCATATAGTGTATTTTTATGTGTCGATGACTAAGTTCACTTCTTCCAAGACAGACTAGCATCGCAACCTTGCCGTTTAGTATCTGTTTGTGCTACTATATATTTGTCTGACATTGTTTTTTCACCGTGATCTCCATCCAGAACATGCTCTCAAACTTGTGTATGGGGATAAAACACTCGCCGGCAGCAACATCCAGGGTACTCTCCCAATCCGCTCAAGCAAATCAGCTTTTGGTCTTTTTTATGATAGTTTCCATTTGAAAGACAGGGCCAATAACTGGTTTTCCTCTGATTTCCACAGTGACATCACTAGAGGTTTTTTCTTAAGATATATTCACATGTAAGCGCTCAGGATGGCTGAACTAAAACGTTGGGTGCAGCACTTTTTTGTTGGCGACTACTTCTTAATATTGGAAAAATTAAAAAAGATTACTATGTTGATAAAGGCCCCAACTGTTAAGTGTAAAATAAAAAAAGGCTGAAAATCTACACTGCCTGGGTGGAACTTGGAAAATGAAAAAGGACGAATGTCTATCAGTAACTTTAATGAGTCTCTGTCTCTTTTCAATGAAAAAGATTGTTGCCGTCTCAATTACTGTTTGATCATTTAACTATTCAATTAAATTAGTTGTAAAATGTCTATTTACACTGTCTGCGTGGTGATCAATATCTCCAAATGGTAGATAGTGCTCCGGTTTCTTTCGTAATGTTGCTAATATTTCATGTGAAATACGTTGTTATATTACAAAGGACATATTGCTTTTCTATTGAGTTGAGCTCTAACAACATGTCTTATGTCACAGATACTGTATATATTTAGAGGTTGCGTCACACTTACTCTGCCCTTCCTCTCCTCTATGTCGGGGCTCGGCAGGCGGGCCTTTAGTTTGACCGAGCCTTCCTTGAAAATATCTCCGAAGCCCACGCCTCTGATCTTCTTGGGCTGAGCAACTACTCCGTTCCCTGAGGCGGGCTGAGGGGATGTGGGGGTGGAGCCGCTTTCCATTCCACTTCCATCTGCGGGGGAGATAAAACAGGGTGAGATGGGGGGTGATTTAATAAGTGTCCAGTCTTACTGCTTTGCTTCCTGCTGCAATACTCTATACCGTATATTAGAACTTATCTTGAATAAGACATTTTCACTTCAAGACACAAGAAGGTGTTCAAATTGTGAATTCATAAAACTACCTAGTAGCAGTTTTTAGAATGTTAATACTCAAGACCTAATTAAAAAACAAAACAGATGCATGATGGGAAACGATGGTATGATATTTGATATGTTCTCACATTGTTGCGTTTAAATGTAACCACTTCATATCCAAAGAAGACAGACAAACAAACAGGAAGTGCACACTAACAGGAACACGGTATGGGCCCTGCAGCATTTAAAGACTGGTTCATGGTAAACTAAATTGTTTTATTTCCTGCTTCTTTACACATACTCTCTCCAGTACAGGCTAGCTCTGAGTGTCACGGCCCGTCTACACTACAGGCGTCAAAAAATGCTTTCAACGCTTCGCCCATTCATTTGAATGAGGTGACGTAGGATATTTTCAAACTTCGCCGAACTGCATTGTGGGTAGCATGGCAAGGCGTTGCAAGCATCGCGAGCGTCTATCGGCGTCAAAAGTTGAACAATGTTCAACTTTTGAGGCTCGATGCTTGCTCGAAGCTGGCGTCAGCCAATGAAATCCCGTTTATGCAAATCTGCCAGTACAAGCTAGCCAATCAAACCGCGTGTATGCTGGGAGAGACTACGCAGGTCATTTCCTCATATTCAAAAAAATGGAGGGAAAATTCATTATAGCGGTAGTGAATCACCCGGTGCTGTTTGATCAGTCTCTGTTCATCTACCGGGATACAAACCGGAGGAGCGAGGCATGGAGGGAGGTGGCAGAGACAGTGGGTGAAACTGGTAGGTTTTCGCCTGTTTGGGGATTTTATATCCAGTTTACTTCGTTTTAACATTGCTATTGCTTTGTATGTCGGGGGCGGGAGATTCATGTGATTGGTTGTTGGTCGCGTTGCTCGCAAAAAATCGCCAAGCCTCAGACACGCCCAGCTTCAAGCTTTTTCGACGCCTGTAGTGTAGACGGGCCGTTAGCGATGCTTGCTAATGTAAACACAGACCATATTACGTCCAAAACAGTCGGGCATTGATTCTGATACAAAGATGTTTCTGATAGGGCCTTGGGTGTAAAGCCAGCCCACATTTAAGATATTACGTCATATAGGACGCAAATCTGGATCAACTCCGTTGTACCCCCGTTTTTAGAGAAGTGGGAAAAGAGAGAGGGTTTTATTTTCTGACACTTTGTGAGTGTCCTCACACACATTTATTTATAAAAGACATCAAAAAGTGCTTTTTTCATGATAGGTCCCCTTTAAATCAATTTACCATTTTCAAATCAATATTGTAAGTCAAGTCGTTGGTTTATTTAGTACGTTGTTGTCTAATACGCGGAAAGACGAACATTGACAGGGTGGTCAGGATTTCCATGCGAAGCTAAGTATCAAATTTGTAAAAGGTAGTTATGATATTTGACCCTACACTATATGTTCTCACATTGTAGCGTTTAAATGTAATCCCTTAATATCTAACCTCAAGCTGTGGATCCTTACATGTGCACACACACCCCACACTCAGCAGTAGATCCCAGTCATATAACTAGCAGACTAAAAGGCTCAGAAACATCCAGCTACAGACTGAACACTCAGTCAAGCTGCTTGTTGAGACCTGTTTCACCTGTCCTGCAATGACAATCTGAACACCACCTTTTCTACACTTCACTTACAATACAATAATAATCATCATAATGCAATCTTCTGTCTCAACGAGTTCTCCAAAGTCTTGAACAGAGTCTGACAGAGATATTAAAAATAGACTCTGCGCAGATGACAGCCACAGTAACATTTAAGAAGAACCAGAAATTCAGTCAATTTGCTTAATTCAAGCAAATGCACTTGCCTTGGGCTTGTTCTGGTATCGCTCCTAACCAAACATACATTTCCAGCACACCTTTGTTAATGTTTGATCCCAACTGAGCTGCATCATTCACACTAATGAGGCCCATCTTGTTTGCAGTTGCTCTCTCACCAGTCTCCTCTGCCGCTGTGTCGTTGGACTCCCCCTCCTCTCCAGAGGCATCCAGCTCTTTGACAAAGTTGGAGGGAAACAGTCCTGACTTGCCGTTCGCGTTGCCACTCCACCAGCCTTCTTCAACCTGCACAGAGAGGACATTAGGAGATATAATCCACCTGACATGGTAATGTTTTTGTCATTTTAAATGCAACCTACTGCAAAAACAACACTCACACCCACTAACATCTGGCTTTGTTCTCAGTGACAATGATTGTGGTATTTATCTCTTGCAGATCTGCTTGGCACAAATACATGAAACCAGGGTGGACAGGCTAATGGGAAAGTAAATGGATAATCATTGAAGACTAACAGGTATGTCCAAAGAAGTATGTCTAAATCCCTATTAATTAAAGTAATTATAATAAATGAACATACAATCAATATGCTCTCTTCGACGCCACTGGAGTCTCTTTTGATAGAAACAGTCATTTTACTTTTTGTCCTATAACGCACTTAATCAAAACCTCTTTCTGCAATTCCAACAAAAATCGCCTCTATTTGGAGGGTTTGAACGGTAGACTAAAAAAAGTAAACTAAACTGTTTACTGTTCAGTTAAATACATTGGACACATTGTGAAGTGTTGTTGTGGCATTTGATACACGTTACATATGTAAAAAGAAATGCATTCTCGCTTACCGACAATATGAAAGGAGTCAGGAATTGACTATGTAAGCAGTGTTTGCTGTGTTTAAAAGACTTTGCATGTGCCTACTAATTTAAGTATATTTTTCCACACACACATCCCTTTCATTTATTATTAGCCCTTCATGTTGCGAACAGTTTAAAAAAACACAGTCCTGTCTCTTTCCTGTTCTGACTAGCGGAACCACAAATAACTATTTAACAGTTGGAGTATATTCAGTGGTTAAATGCATTAAGTGGTTGTAATATACACCTATAACAGTGTCTCAAATTACAGACCAAAAATGTGATTGTTTATCCAAAACACTAAAGGGTGACCAATGGAAAAAGGCAAGGCCATGGCAGATATCTCAAACATGTACACTCCCCCTAGCTTCTCCAAAAGCACTGTTATCAGAAGTGACGTACACATATTGGACATTTACATTGTATAAAGTCAAAGCATGCGTTAAATACCTCTTCAGTGATGTCTACGATGTCTCCGATCTTCAGCTCCAGCTCATCCTCGTTCTGTGGCTGATAGTCAAACAGAGACTTGCACTGTCTCCTCTTAGGCTCTGTGAAAGGTGGGTCAACAAAACACCAGCTTAGTTAACCAACCTGTTGTATGGCCTCACATGTGCATGTTGGTTAGCGCCAGTCTGAGTTTAATCAAAAGGGAAGGGCTCGGCTGTGTGAAGAGCATGTTTTCATCTCTAATCAAATGTCAAAAGGGGGCGGTGTAAGAACTGGCAAGCAAGCAAAGGGTTAATCAAGGAAGCAGGAGAGCATTAAAAATGCTCTGAGAATGTTCCAAAGGTGAGTCTGTGGCAGGCAGCAGGCACACCCTGCTCAACTATCTGAAAATATAACCACTAAACAAGAGATAGTATTGGTGTGATTGTGTTTAAAGACGTTTTCAGCAATGCAACAAAAGACGCCGCATGCATGTGAGCTGATCTATGAAGGAGAATATAAACGTGGCAGTAACGTAAGCAGTTTATTTGTCAGTGAATACAGCTACAACTCCTCAAGCCTCAGGCCAAGTTCCCATGTCTTGCTTGCCACCTGCTGATTAAAGTGAAGAGGGTTAGCCCCAAACTTGGCATCGACTCTAGCTCATTGTTACGGTAGGCTCACTTTGAATGTGTACCAGCTACATAGTTGTGCGATGATTACCTATTTGTGTAGGCCGCCCCGGATGTTAGCATCACAAAGGCTCCCTCAACACATTTTTTTATTGGATTTGGGAAATATTGCAGAAAACGCGTTGTTGGGCAGGATCATTTCCCACATTAACACCACCTTAATGATTTCTGAAGCGTAAATGCAATCACCAGAAGTAGAAAGCTAATGTTAGGCTATAAAGGGACTACATCATAATCACATGACTTCCCGTCAGAATTGCTGTTTTTAAGACTCGTATAAGCTTCAGACATTAATCAGTGGGGTATTTACTTGCATATTTGATGCTGTAGAACAAGAAGTAAAAAATCTCTTCAGCTTGTGTTAACCACAGATCTTATTTCAGGCATCTAACTACAAACAACTTAAAAAACCCAATGACAAGGGAATCAGAAGGTGGTCAAATACTGACTCATTTCCGGGTCCTTCCTGCACCACTCTATTCTCCTTTTAATGAAAATGAATGGAATCACTGTTTCTTCAATTAGTAGATGATCTATCCATCCTGAGCCAGTTGTCCTATTACACTGTATGTCACTTTGTATTGCTCAAATGCAAAACATCACCATTAGCAGCTTTTTACAGTTGCATTTTTCCCTGAAGTTGAACCTAAAAAAAACTTGCCATTATGTAAGAATAGAAACTGTAGCTAGGTTGAAAAAGACAAAGAAAAAACTCATAATAGGATCTTTGAGCAAGACTGGACACGGTGCTGGTATGCAACACACAAATATGCATGAGAGGACACACGAGCACACATATGGCACACACAGGTGAAAACATATTTGCTAATAAGTGTTGACCCATTGCAGTAAGCCACAACTCATCCAGGCAGTTATACACATGTGACTACTGCATCTTACTCTTTGAAGCTGCTGGGGGCTGAGGCAGGAAGCCCCCGGTGGGGATGCCGATGGTGCTCATTCTCTGGACCAGGTTGGCCACGTTTCCTGCGCTCTTCTCTCTCCTTAGAGGCAGAGAGGCTTCTTCTTTCGGCTCAGTCTTTGTTTCCTTGACCTCTTTGGATTCCTTCTTCAGTTCCTAAAAAAAAAATAAAACACACAGGAATAAGTCATAAGGCTTGTTTTCCCCCTGGTTTTTAAATGGTTCATTTGGTACCTTTTATACAAGATAATGTTTTATCATGTCACTATATCCAGACAGTAGAAATGAGCCAAAACTCCCAAAAGTAAACCATCCAATCAAAGCCAAGTATTACCTGGAGCAAAATAGGCAGCCTTAATACTGATTGATACCTGCAACCTAAATTAATTCCAAATTAAAAAAGAAACAATTACATTTTTAAACCAATTATATTATACTAACATAACAACCGGCTTAAAGCCAGGGGGAGTGTCTGCAGGTATGTTTCAAACAAAACAACTATTATAAGAAATGACATGTTATATGTTCACACCCAAGCCCAGTAAGGCGAGGCAAGGCAAGGCAAGTTTATTTATATAGCACCTTTCAACACAAGGCAATTCAAAGTGCTTTACAAAAAATGAAAGACATTAAGAAAATGGCATTTAAAATCAGTCATTAAAAAGAAAAGATAATAAAAGAAACATTAAAAGAAAAAGTACATGGATAAAAGTTACAGTGCAGTCTAAGATATGAATAGTTCAATTAAAAGCAGCGGCAAGAAGAAAAGTCTTTAGTCTGGATTTAAAAGTAGTCAGAGTTGCAGCGGACCTGCAGGTTTCTGGGAGTTTGTTCCAGATATTTGGAGCATAATAACTGAACGCTGCTTCTCCGTGTTTAGTTCTGACTCTGGGGACAGAAAGCTGACCAGTCCCTGAAGACCTGAGAGATCTGGATGTTTCATCATTTAGCAGGAGGTCAGAAATGTATTTTGGGCCTAAACCAGCAGCAGTATTTTGAAATCTATTATTTGACACACAGGAAGCCAGTGTAAAGACTTCAGAACAGGAGTGATGTGATCCACTTTCTTAGTGTTAGTGAGGACTCGAGCAGCGGCGTTCTGAATCAGCTGCAGCTTCCTAATAGATTTTTTAGTGAGACCTGTGAAGACACCATTGCAGTAGTCGAGTCTACTGAAGATAAAAGCATGGACAAGTTTTTCCAAATCCTGCTGTGACATTAGTCTTTTAATCCTAGATATATTCTGTAGGTGATAGTAGCCTGATTTAGTAACTGTTTTAATGTGACTGTTGAAACTCAGGTCAGAGTCCATGACTACACCTAGATTTCTGGCTTTATCTGTTGTTTTGAACATTGCAGACTGAAGCTCAGCGCTAACTTTTATACGTTCTGCCTTGGCTCCAAAAACCATTACCTCAGTTTTATCTTTGTTTAATTGGAGAAAGTTCTGACACATCCAGTCATTGATTTGTTCAATGCACTTACTCAGTGTTTGAATTGGAGCATAGTCTCCTGGTGAAATTGTTACGTACATTTGTGTGTCATCCGCATAGCTATGGTAACTTATATTGTTGTTTTTCATTATCTGAGTCAGTGGTAGCATGTAGATGTTAAAGAGAAGAGGCCCTAAGATGGAGCCTTGAGGTACCCCACATGTCATATTTGTCAACTCAGATGTGTATTTACTAGGGCCGGGACTCGATTAAAAAAATTAATCTAATTAATTAGAGGCTTTGTAATTAATTAATCGAAATTAATCGCATTTTTAATCGCATATACATATTTGACATAAGAACAGTGAGAAGCAATTTTTTTTCACATGGATTTTAGTATACCATTAGGCGCATTCACACCGCAGTACTTTTCCCACAAAGGTTCATGAGAATTTAGTTCATGAGAACTCTTTGAACCTGGGGGTGGATTAGGCAAATGAAGCCGCTGACGTCACTTCTTCTTCTTCTGCTTTGGGTTTACTGGCAGGCCGCAAACCACTTCACGGCGTATACTGCCACCCAAAGTCCCCGGCCGGAAGTCCCCGGAGTTGGGGACTGGCTTCAGTAGAAGCTGCTGGGACTCCCAGCAGCTTCTCCTTTTTGGGAGTTTTATGGGGTGTGGTTTGCAATCCGCCCAGCCAATCAGAAATATAGCTCTTTTCTCACAAGAGAGCCGCACGAAAGTTCCTGCTCTCTAGCAGCTCTCTGCTCTCTAGCAGTGACTTTCGTGGGGGTAAAAAGGTTCTTATGAACTAATTTTAGTACCGGCTCTTTTTGGTGTGAACGCGATAAAAGAGGCTAACGTCCACGCTTCCACGCTAGCTGCTATATGTTTTGCATTGAGGTGATACTTGAGGCTTGATGTGCTGCGGTGATATGCGAATTCCTTTTTGCATAATTTGCACACAACCGTGCTCTTATCGACGCTTCCATCCGTCCGTTTTTTAAAACAACATTTCCCACTGTTGTTCACTGTGGTTTGTTGTTGTCTGAAGTCATGAACGTTAGTTGGTGCTCCAGTATAATCGGTACGCCTGAAACTCATCCAGTAAGAAACGTTCCGCGGTGCAAAAATAAGTGCGATTAAAATGCGTTAATTTTTTTAACGCGTTAATTTTTGTGTAATTAATTAATCTTAATTAACGCGTTAAAGTCCCGGCCCTAGTATTTACCTATAGAAACAAAGTTGTTTCTGTCCTTTAAGTAGGATTCAAACCAATTTAGAACTGTTTTCGAAAGTCCCACCCAGTTTTCTAGTCGGTCGAGTAATATGCTGTGGTCAACAGTGTCAAACGCAGCGCTGAGATCTAATAATACTAACACTGAAGTTCTGCCACTGTCTGTGTTTAAGTGGATGTCATTGAAGACCTTTACAAGAGCAGTCTCAGTGCTGTGGTTTGGACGAAAGCCTGACTGGAACACATCGAAACAACTATTTAAATGCAAGAAATTACTCAACTGTTGAAAAACAACTTTTTCAATGATTTTACCTAGAAATGGCAGGTTTGATACAGATGTAGCGCTTCATTTCAGACGCCTACCTGTGCGGGTCCGTGATCGGCACGGGGTGGGCCCCTGCTGAAAAGGAAAACCCCCCGCAGGACTTGAAACGCCCCCTTGATAAATACATTTAATTATAATGAAACCAGCTGCAATGGATCATGGATCCACCAGGGGTAGCCGTGAAAAGCTGCCACACTGGAACTCATGTGAAATAAACAGCTGATCTTCAGGTATCTGATATAGCGGATATTTGTTAAGATCCATATGTCACGGATAGGATCATATTCTGTGCTAAATAAGAGACATGTAATCATTTACTAAACATCACCATGTTTTTATTTAACAAAATAATATTTAATTCACGTTGGCGTAAGTACAAAACCATCGCTATGTTTTTAGATCAGGAAATGCATCCAGGCTCAAACAAACGATTTTCAATCATCATCCTCACGATCATTTAATGTATCATATGTTCACGAGTTGAAATGAATGCACTAAATTTAACCCACGTGAGTTTACAACAACAAAAATAATCGCTTAATCACATCCGACTGGAGGAAAATGCAGCACGGGTCTCACTACCGATCATCCTAATCCCACGGGCAAACAATAATATGTACAGTGTTAATAGTTTACTGTATTATTAGTAGGGTTGGGAACCGAAACTCGGTTCCAGATGAGAACCGATAAGAAAATGCCGGGTACCGGGTACCCATACAAAATACACAATTTCGGTTCTGCTTAACGGTTCCTAAACGCGGTAGACCCTGTATTCCAGCGGGTCCGTCTGCACCGCGGTGCTGCGGTGACCCGGTGGAATACAGGGCGGACCTGGAGAATCACAGAACGGCCGGTCGTCAGCGGGCCGTTGACGGCCGGCTCGGTACGCTGACGGCCGGCACCGCCCTTCATTTTTTTAAACGGCATCATATAAATTGCGCTGACAGGCGACAGAGGTCCACAGTTGCTCCGCAGCGATGCTCCCCCGCCCTCCCGTAGACATTTCACGAGCTCAGTCACTTCATAACACCAAAGATAGGTCGCGGTAAACACTCTGAAGTGAGGCTCCACTACACTAAAAAATAAAAATAAAAGGCAAAGTGTAATGCCTGTTAATAGCTTGCCACAGGCATAGCTCAGTTAAAATAAAGCACAGCTATTGTGCAATACATTTGTATTGCATGTATATTTTTTAGTAACAATTTCAGTTAAAGCTTTTAAGAATAAATATATTTTTGTTATCTAAACGTTTGACCTCTTTATTTTACAATTTTGGAATCGAAACGGGGAATCGATAAGAACCGGAATCGATAAGCAGAACCGGAATCGAAATCGGAATCGATAAATTTCAAACGATACCCATCCCTAATTATTAGTGTCTAATATTACTGGGGATTTCGGAATGGTACTGGATTTTGTTTTATTGTATCGGCTTCATATCGCAATATATTCCCGAAGTCTGAAATGCAAAAATGTCCCACATTAGGGGCAATTCACCCTACATTTAATCATTCAAACAAAATCATATTTAGTTTATTTTTAACGAAATAAATGTGGTTTAATCCACATAATTTACTGTGTTAATTGTTTACTGTAGTATTGTGCACATTACTTTTTGCTGCTTGTTGCACCCCTGGTTAGAAGCTAAACTGCATTTCGTTGTCTTAGTACCTGCAATATGTGCAATAACAATAAAGTTGAATCTAATCTTGAGCAGGAACAAATGTATTTAGGCTACTTAGTACATATCTCACATAAACGATTAAACATATTTGTGCATTCTTTAAACCGAGTCAAGCCGAGTCCGGAGGTCGCGGCACATTAAAGTGTGCACCTGATTGTTTAACTTGAAGGTGCCTGATGACATTTAATCATTCAAACAAAATCATATTTCGTTTATTTTTAACGAAATAAATGTGGTTTAATCCACATAATTTAGGCCTACTGTGTTAATTGTTTACTGTAGTATTGTTTAACTTGAAGGTGCCTGATGTGAACATTTCCAGAAGAACTCTAGCTTGAATGGCCTTTGTATGTATACAGTATAGGCCTACAGTATAGCCCAACCATGTACACCTTCCTTTTTTCCGGTCCAAAGTTTGAATTGGATAAAGGTAATGGTTATCGATGGTGCTTTTATAGCCTATTGTATAATAACTG